GAGTGGCCACAATATTGGTCTCCAATTACCTGGACACGCACCTCATACTCAAGCCATTCAGCCAGATCAAGCAGTGTTGGTATAGGAGTGTTGATGGGATTGACAAATCTCTGGAAATTTGCTCTTAGGTCATAAGGTAGCTTAGCTAAGAGGCGAGATACGTGTGAGCCACACCTCAACTCTGTCCGACCTTGTTCTCCCAACTGGTGTAACATACCCACTAGCGCACGGACTTGTAGTGCGAAAGACTTGAAGGCTCTGATGTCACCACTCCTAATGTTGGGTCCATCCATCAGTTTGGTAATCCTTTTTAAGGCCAGATGTTGAGGTTGCCCATACATTTCTGTAAGTGCTCTCATGGTGTCAGCAAATGGGAATGGACTGTTACTGTATGGGTCAGCTACAAGTAGTGCATCTTCACACTTAAGGTGATCTGTCAAGATCTGGAACTTGAAGTGTTCAGGAGCATCAAGTGGAAGTATGCTATCTAGAGCTAACTTTAATCTTGCAAACTCACGTGGGTCCTCGTGCACAAGGTAGGGGATCATTGGTTGAGGTCCACGATAAGTCTCTATCGGTTGGGCGACCCACTGAGAGAGAGTGGTGTCTGAGGGCACCCACCTGGTTGCAGGCGATCGGGTGGACACTGTCGGCGGTCATCTGGATAGTTACCACAGCGCCTGTACGGATAACTCGAATCCTGATACCCATATCCATAAGGAGAACGATAGTGACTGTCAGGGCAGCTTGGGTGACCAGGGGTAGGATACCTGTCATCTTGTCTGTAGTATGGATCATCTTCATAGCAGGCCCCTAGCTTTGGCAATCTAGGAGGAGTGGCAGGCTGACTGCAGTTCCTGTGGCGACGAGCATACACCTCATCAACCCTTCTTTGTTCTGCATGATATGGTGACCGTCCCCTTGCTGCTGACGCTTGAAGTGGAGGGGGCCTCTCACCTGGTGTGATTGGTGAAAGAAAATCTTGAGATTCAGGGCATGAGTCGACTGAAGGTGATGGTGACTGTGCGCTGCGCTCCCTGTCAAGATCTGCGTCATTTAAACTGTGAGTGAGCTCCTCAATCAAGCCATGCTGGCTGTCCTTTGGATGTTGAGACTCATCCCCAAATGGCACCTGTGGAGCACTTTCAGGCTGATGTGGGCTCTTCTGACCTTTGATTGGCACCAGCTTACTAGTGTGGGCAGGTGTGGTTGACGTCCCATCCTCACAAAGTCCAGACCGTGATGTGGCATGCTGTGGAGCTAGTACAGGTGAGCTAGAGATCAATTCTGTCAGGCGTTGCACATCTAGTCGGAGTTGATTGTGTTCCTCTTTCATATGATGAATATATTGGAGAATTTCAGGATGAGTAGAATGCTTGCCCTGATCATCATGTGAGAGTCGGTTCTTAGCGAGGTCGTCCACTTCATAGTTCTGGAGGTATGATGGCAGCTTGCTATGTCTGTGCGGACGGTCAGACTCTCTGTATGGGTATCGGTCTTCCATTCTGAACATATAAGGCTGAAGCAGTTGCTCACCTCCGGCTCGAAGGACCAAATGTTCAGAAGGGTTAAAGAAATCTGAGCTGGCAGCAATCACTTCAGAGTGTCGGGTCAGAACACTTGCAAATGTTCAGATGTGAGAGGAACAAACAGGCAGAGTCCAGGAATAAAGTTGTCATTCTTTGTATTTCCAATTGAGAATGTGCCCGCAGCTGGGCGAGAGAGTGTGTGTGGGTGTGTGTGTGTGTGGTTTCTGCAGACAAAGCATAATGATACAAATCAATTAGGAATCAAATTACATAATAAACATAAAGATACAACTGAGGTGTACTCAAGTACAGTATATAACTAAATAAGCTGACATTATACTTCAGCCTGGTTACATAAACTTAAAGTCAGACATTATGCATTAACACACCGCATACAACTATGCACTGAAGGCAACTTTACATTGGTTTATGATCTGTTACACGGAGCACAGAATCAACAACACGATAACAACGAATCTCTCTGCTAGAAGCTAATTAGCAAACAAATCTGTTATGCTAGCGAACTACCACTTGTACATAATGTCACTTAAACAGAAGCAGAAACTGCTGGTAAGTCATCAAATACACTCATGGCTGAACACCAACACAACTGAGTGAAGTAAAACATTAACTTACGGTCTTATGAACGCACACACTGTCCGTTGTTTGGCTGCCGTTTGTCTCTGAACTAAAGTTGCGGACATGCACCCCGATGGTGCATTCGGGGGGCATAGGAAATCCCATACACAAACCTAACCCTTTTGTACACAGCCGGTAATAATGTATGATCAGTAACTCCTTGTATTATGAGGGGTATAATAACACACAAACTAGATAGTTAAAAGGGAGTCAAGTTCAGTGAAGCTGAGAAAACAGAGAGATATGAAATAGCTTAATTTTTATTTTATTTTCAATTTTCATGGTGATGCTTATGTCCACTTCTCCCCCTACAATAATTTGTTAATCTACTTTTTCTAACTTGTATTATTTTAAAAAAAACAAACAAAAAAAAAACAACTGCTCCCTCTGTCAGCTATAAATCAATAACATCAAATGAGGCATGTAAGACTGTGCTGTAAATTGATTAACTACAATAAAGAGGCTGACGTCACATGCCTACAGCAAACAGAGTTTATTGAAACAGGACCTGAAGGAGTCACTGAGTGGCTGAAGGAGAAATTCTGACAGACTACTCCTTGGTTGTGACTGCATTGTTTGTCAAAAACAATTCTCTAACTATCATGTTTGGCTGGAGCTGGAAACCATAATCCTTCAATGAATTTGGCTTAGTTTCTGTTCCATTCTTCTCCATTTGCTACAGGTTCTCCAGCTCACAGCAGATCACCAGATAAGAACAAGGTCTACCGTCACCTGCTGCAGTGTATGATGGAGACGTTAGAGTTTGACAACGAAACACGTGTTTCTGGAGAGGAAAAGGACCTGAACAACAAAACTTTGTCAGCCTGCCAAAAGAAAAAACACAAGAGGGAAAGGCCATGTCTAGCTCGCTAATGGCAACGCAACATTCAAAATAAGGACAAGGAGATTTTCAGTCATAAACAGAGTGAATGTTGTTCTCTCAGATGAAATTAAAATGTAAAGTTTATGTGAGGAAAACACTTGACTGAGTGAAAGAACTACACCCAGCTAAAATAACTTAAAGATTTAGGCTAAAAGGAAGTTGGCCAACTCCCAAAAATACATTAATAATAATTATTGAAAAAGTTTTGTTTAACAAATTATTTAAAATGACAGAAAAACTAAATTTTTTGACAAATAAGAAGACACAGGCTCACTGTGAACTATCAAAAGACAGATCATTTTATCTGTCTACAAAACGTCCATTCTGAGCCTGAAAAATGACTTTCATCATATTAGCAATTTTGCTGACAGTTCTGTAAGAGTTTCTTCAAAGAACCAGCTCTGTCTCTTTCCATCTGCCTATGAGCTTGATGTGGATTGTGTGAAACTAATATAGACTATCCAAGCACCTAAACAATGGAATCCAAAATGTAGTGAAATAAACACTATATAGATATATAAATAACATAAATATCTTATTTTAATTACTGGCATATAGATGAGAGAAAGCGAGAGACAGAGACTGTTGGGTGAACTCCATTCACTCCTATCAGCAGAGAGAGAGTGGCACACTGCGCTCTAAAATCATGAAATTATCTCAATAAACACCACCTCTGCTTTCATCGAGGAAATAAAACACGGATAAATTTTCAGTTCTGACTTAGTTTTCTAGTATTTTTCTACTTTCAACAGAAAATGTTATTTGCTCCGTCAAGTGACGTCATACACTGCGTTACTCACACACACCATAAAGAATATATTCATACTGTAAAAACAAAAGCTAGAAAAACACATCCACTAATTACAGATGATGTATTTCTTAACAATTTTCATGACAGATGAATATTTTGTTTTCCTTTTTATTCTCGCAGACGCTTCCGTTGTGAATATCTCAAAAACAACAGGAGGCTCGCATGGTTAGAAGTTGCTCAGCAGAGGATGAGGATTGGTCAAAAAACATAACACATGTTAACTTACAAAAAAGGAAAGCACATAGCATTTTCATTTAAATATATATTCTTTTAATAATTCAAAATAAAAGCTAATGCTTTGCCAGCTTCTAGCTTTGCTTGACAGTTTGTAGAACAAGCCTGTTGACATACACCCCCAAAAACTTAATAGTCAACCAAAAACAGCTGGAAACCTGTGTGGTTATTACAGTAAACTTGGCTGTCTTTTCTAAAAATGTTTTACTTTATAAATGGATTTACTGTGACCAACACGAATATTAACAGATGGAGAGTTTTGCTGAAGCATACTGATCAGCACAATCACAGGATGCAGTCTTTGTGTGGGGATTTCTCCAAAACGTGTTAATCACAGTTTTTGACAGTCTGGTATAGTAAGTAGCTCATTTGTAATTGTGCTGGGCTTGCCTGTGTCATTGTTTCACAGAATAGCATTATCAAGATGTAGGGATACCCAAATTGGCCAAAGGTGTCGTGGTGGAGATGAGTTCGAAGCCTCGATACAATTGCGGCACAAACATGCTTCAGTGATTCACAAAGCCTTGCTTTGCCCATCACTAGACCTTGTTGACAAACCCACAAAGTCATAAAAACAGACAACAACATGGACGTCTATAGGACTACTCGCGCTGATGAAATTCATGCGACTCGGACCGGAGTAGCCTCTAGCTGACTCACAGATGCAGAAAGTATTATTCTTGTTTGAAACGACAAAGAAGCCAACTTTATAACCACTCAGCTTGATCTTTGACATTGTTATGTAAATAAATATAATCTCTTCCATTTCCAGATCAATGTTCTGTCATTTAACTAGACTTATCTTGTATTATTCAATTATCTATAACATAATAAATGCTGATTGGAGAGGCTCTTTGTGAATTGTAAAGGACCCAAACCACTAGATTCACAACTGCTCTTGGTACAAGATCCTGATCCACTTAATGAGTTTGTCATCAGAACATTTATTGATTTACTGAACCAGATGTTGGCTTCCTTTGTCTAAACACTGTGGAAAGATCCTCCACACTGTTTGCTTTTCACACTGCTGCAACATGTATTTATGCCCACCATTAAGGTGCAGGAAGTCGCTGCTGAACATCAGGTGTAACCACTTACGTATGGTTATCCATACATTGTGAGATGAGCCATAACCCTATCCCTAACCTTAACCAATAATCAGTAAAAAGAAAAATGTGCTTATGTTTAAATAAACATTATTTGCTTAGCTTTTGTCATCTGTGCAATGAACTGACGACTCCTACATATGTGGTAGAATTTTTCGACAATGCGCACGCATGTGAATTAAGGCAATGCATGATACTCAGATGTGTATGCTGAAATGTCAAAACATTGGGCTGCACTCCAGCTCTTCACAAATACATTCATGCGATTCTGATGTGGACAAACAGAAGGAAACTATTCACATAATCAGCTGAATTGTCCTGCATCCTGCAATCCAATCTAGAGCTGTGTGTTTGGCTAAAATGATTTGAGCTGGCTACTAGCTCCTTGAATGTGTCATACTCTTAGTACAATCAACCTAGTTACACTAGTACATCCTAGTGGTAGTGTGCCAACTCATAGTTTGCAAACCGGTCGCAACCAATAGCAAAACCCAACCGAGAACACCAGCGTGCTGTGTGAGAAACATGCAGGAAAGTGTGCACCTGTGTACAGAGCCCCCACGGAGATCTAATATAAGTCAACCAACAAGTCCCACATTCTCTAATGTTGTAAAGGCACTAATAGAGCGAGGCCCATAACATCACAGAAGCTAAAATAGATTTCTTATCCTAATTTTAATTTATTTTTAATGAAAAAAAAAAAGAAATACAAAACAATAGTTTGATATAGTTGAATAGTTATTCAATACTAAAAATATCTAAATGTGTTAAATATTGATACCAACAGTGTCATCTTGGCCTCTTCGAGCTTACGGAGAACTTCATCACTCCTTCCCTCACTAACAGCTGAAGTTCATCGTCATCACACTGAACGACATTTTTGGAGAATTTTCAAGAGATGTGTAAAGCTCTCGTTTGAACAACATTAAAGTCTTAAACAGGTATCATAGACGTCAACATTGGTCATTCAACTATTAACAATTATCTGAGTGCCACATTAGTCGTCTTTTGTTATTAGCATAGTTGCCATCATGTGGTGTTTCTTCAGATTTCAATGATTCAGTCCAATAAAGGACACCAAACAAGAGTTAACAGCTGAATAAGCTGTTTGGCATTGACAGAGAAGGCAAATCTTTCCTGGAGGCAACTTATTCAGCTCTGCTGCTCAATCCACAAAAAATTAATTTCCTTACAAATGTAGGACCATTTAAGTGGAACTAAACAGGCTTACCAACAGTGTAAGATGTACATGCATTTGTAACAATGTTACAAAAAAGAAATAGACAACCAAACAGATTTCCTTAAATGCGGTGCTGTAAAGCAGATATATTACGAATGGGTTCATAAATCTGCCTAAATAGAAAAAATATCTCTTGCAACCACAGATTTTAATGAGCTGCAACTCGTAAGACATTTTTGTAAAAAAAAAAAAAAAAAGTTTGAGTTTAAGCATAAACTCTTTCTCTTGTGTCTCTCTTTTCTCTTTTTTGTGAGTTTATGACTTGCAGACTAGCAGGTTGCTTCTCCCCTGCAGATGCGTCAACTCCTGCCGCAAAATGATGAGAAATGAATTGATTATCTGCTGAAAACGACTTGTGAAATATTCCAAGTTGTGTGGCACTGTATGCTTTCAGGGTATGACCGTGTAATCGTGATCTTGTTAGACTTGTAATACCGGTTAACACAACTAATCTCCCCGAGCGTAGCAATACCTGAAGCCGCTGCTCAGAGCAGATGCGGTGAGAGGAAAGGAGAACCACGACGGAGGACGGCGTTAACCCGAACGGTGAAACTGGAGGTCCGGTAAAAGTTCGTAAAACATTCTCCGTACGGTCATGTTTGCTCCCCTGATGCCAAGAGAACTTTCCCAAGCTCCGGTCTGGGAACGCTGCTACGAAAACCCTGTAACATTCTGCGAACCTTCACATGATGTCCCGTCGTTTCTGGGTATATTTGGTTAAAATTGACGATTAACTGCGGATTAAATATAAACCGAATTGATCGGTTGGTTCTAGTGATCACAAAAACGATGCAGTTTTCTCGTTTGTGTTGACTTTTTAGACTGGTAAGACCAATTGCTTCCAGTTAACACATTTCCAGTGGTAGACAGTGGTTTTTGCATAGTAGACACTCAACAGGTGTGCAGCAATAACTCACCTTCTGCTGCCGACGGGACATGTCGGTGGGCTGCTTGGCGTTGAACGGGTAGGCTATGCACCGGAGGACGAACACATAAATCTGCAGTTTTATTTTCCTCTCCTCTTCCTCCTTCTGAATGGACTCACGTTTCCTCTTTTCCTGTTCTTCATCTGTAGCGCTGTTCACTTTCGTACTTTTGCCGGCGAGGCTTCCAGGTGTCGCGGAGCGCAGCTGCTGGCTGCCCGGGGGTCCCGTTTCCCGTTTCTCTGCAGAGGAAGAGGCGTCCGGTTTCCTCTGAGGCTCTAAGTCGGACTCCCCACCAGTGTCTTCGCTAGAAGACGAATCTAACATAGTGCACTGTGTCAAAATTCTGCTTCAGACTGAGAAAAAAGTCAGGAAACAATTTTTGAGCGTCTTTTTGTTTGTTTTAGTCGACGTGGCCTTGATGTCTGCGTAGGTTGCAGGCGGTGGCGCGCTCTGAACCACGACTTCAGTGGAATGTCAGGTTACTGCGGAAAGCAAAGGTAGGCGGAGTTTTCATTGTTAAGAGGTGGTCTCCGCGTGCACTTCGTTCCTTCACAGCTTTAAAGAATGCGTTGGCGCGTGCACAATGTGTTGTGCCCAAAACTAATTTCCAGTGTTTGTGTTTTTTATGTATTATATCTTTGCTTATACTGATAGCCCGCAGTCAACAGGATTTAAGAAGGGGCTGTGTGTAAAATAAAGAAATGATCTGTTTTGCAAGTTTGCAAGTCTTTATGGCTCTGTGTTATTGTACATACTGTGTTTTACATTATAATCAATTCAGTCCTTTTAGGCTGCTTAAAATATCTCTATATAACTGTTATATTTATTGCAGCTTCTGCTTCCCTCTCGACCTGATCTATCTTGAAAAAGTTAAATGTGTATTTTTGATTATTGTTTTGAGTGTCATTTGTCAACATGGTGATATAAATTTATGATCATTGTTGCAATAGGGGTGGTTTCATCTTACTTACTTTTTCAAACTGACCAAAGGACTTCATCAACTGGTATCAGCGCCGATTCCAGGTTAACACAAAATCAAGAACTGGTGGTGGATTTTTAGAAAGACAAACATGCTGGGAATGGGCATTGGCAAAACGGACTCATATAAGCACCTGACCAATAAACTGGATTGGACTAACAATTCAAAGGCCATCTAAAACAAAAGTACAGGGCAGGCTGTATCTGCTAATGAGACTCTCAGATCTTTTAGAGTAAAGACATGTATAGATACACATACATACACATCATATATATATATATTGGAGGTATACCAAGAGCTAAGAGAAGGACTCAAGAAGATGTGGAGGGTGAAGGTAACAGTGGTCCCAGTGGTAATTGGAGGACTTTTGTTTTTCGAATAGGAAGCGGGCCATGTGACACATCAAACTTATTGGCAATGTCACAAGAAAAACAATGGTGTGCTTGGTTTCAATGTAACTTTATTCTTTCATGAGTTATTTACAAGTTTCTCTTTGTTCACAGCCATTGACATGTCGAAGAGGTTAACACGTGAGGAGCGGATCAAAATTGTGTTGATATCTGGTGACCACTTATAAAATGTGTTCAGTGTGCTGCCCATTGTGTTGGATTGTCAATGCAACCGTCTTCTCCTACTCTTCACACACTGATAGCAACACCGGCCAGCACAGGCATCCAGAATCCGTAGTTTCAGGTGCTGCACATCTCGTAGGGTGTCTTGCATTGAAATCTGCTGCAAACTGTGCTCAGACAATGTATGATTCAAATTCAAATTCAAATTCAAATTTTATTTGTCACGTACACAGTCATACACAGTACGATATGTAGTGAAATGCTTGGACAACTGCTCGTGACCTAAAGAAAACAAAAAAGGAAAGGCTATGAATAAGATAGGAAATAAATATGAAAAATTAAAAAGGGTAAATTTAACTAGGAAGGAATAAAATATAAATTAAGGTTAAAAATGAAATAACTGTACAACACAAATTAGAATGAAGGGTAAATTTAACTGGGAAGAATAAGATAAAATATATAAATTAAAGTTGAAAATAAAATAACTGTACAACAAAATACACAATATAGAACTATATAAGAATGTATGAAGAAATCTAATAAATAAATATATACACAATAACAGCAGCTGTACAAGTATTAACCGGAAATGAAGAATATAGTGACCAGTGTTGTGCAAAAACAAAGTCCAGAAAGTCCAGTGTGTGTGTAAGAACCATTGTGTGGGTCAGTACTGTGTGGTGGTGTGATTGAGAGACCGTATCGCCTGCGGGAAGAAGCTCCTCCTCAGTCTCTCTGTGTTGGTCTTCAGGGAGCGGAATCGCTTTCCTGACCTCAACAGAGAGAACAGTCTGTTGTTGGGATGGCTGAGGTCCTTCACATCTTCCTGGCCTTGGTCCAGCACCGCCTGCTGTAGATTGAGTGCAGGTCAGGGAGCTCGGAGCGGATGGTGCGCTCAGCTGACCGCACAACCCTCTGTAGAGCTCGTCTGTCCTGCATGGTGCTGTTCCCGAACCAGGTTAAGATGTTTCCCGCCAGGATGCTCTCTATGGTGCACGAGTAAAAGTTCCTGAGCACCTTGGAGGGCAGTTGGAAGTCTCTCAAGCGTCTGAGGTGGTAGAGACGCTGTACGGGCCTTTTTCACCACGGTGTTGATGTGACAGGACCATGACAGGTCCTGCGTGATGTGAACTCCGAGGTATTTGAAGCTGTCCACTCTCTCCACTGGGCACTCGTTGATGACGGGGGTCTGGTAGTTCCTCTCCTGCTTAGTGCTGAAGTCCACTATCAGCTCCTTTGTCTTACTGACGTTTAGAAGGAGGTTGTTCCTCTGGCACCAGTTCTCCAGATTCCTAATCTCCTTCAGGTAGGCCGTCTCGTTGTTATCAGAGATCAGGCCCACCACGACGGTGTCGTCAGCAAACTTGATGATGGTGGTGGAGCTGGTAGTGGCCACACAGTCATATGTGTACAAAGAGTACAGCAGGGGGCTCAGAACACACCCCTGGGGGGCTCCAGTGCTGAGAGTGGTGGAGGCTGAGACATGTCCGCCCATCCTTACTGCCTGTGGTCTGCCAGTTAGGAAGTTGGAGATCCACTGACACATAGATGAGCTGAGTCCCAGATGCTCCAGCTTGGTGGTGAGTGTGGAGGGAATTATGGTGTTAAATGCAGAGCTGTAGTCTATGAAGAGCATTTTAACATAATTCCCCCTTCTAGTGTCCAAGTGAGTGAGTGATGTGTGGAGGAGATGAGAGATGGCATCGTCTGTGGAACGATTTGGACGGTAAGCGAACTGTAGTGGGTCCAGTGTGTCTGGTAGTGAAGAAATGATGAAGTCTCTGACCAGGCGTTCAAAGCACTTCATCACTACTGAGGTGAGGGCTACAGGGCGATAGTCATTGAGAGAAGCAGGGTGGGGTTTCTTCGGGACAGGAACAATGATGGACTCTTTGAAGCATGTGGGGATCACCGACTGAGATAAAGAGATGTTGAATATCTCAGTGAACACAGGAGCTAGCTGGTATGCGCAGTCTCTTAGGATACGACCTGGGATGCCGTCTGGTCCTGCTGCTTTCCTGGTGTTCACTCTCTTGAAGGCTCTCCTTACTTCATGCTCGGAGATGACGAGCACGTTTCCGGTGCTGGCAGTCTTACCAATGTGTTTGTCGTGTTAGACACGATAGTGGTCAATGCTTGACAGTTAATGTTGAAACCATCAACTCAGGCCACTGGATATTTGAAATTGCTACATGATGATGTGTTTCCCTCTTTATGCACTGAAGCTGGCACGTTCCCTGAGTTTTTCCAGCAAGATGGTGCACCACCACATTATGGGTGCCAGGTCCGAGCATTCCTAGATGAACAGTTTCCTGGAAAGTGGATTGGTCGTCGTGGGCCAGTTGAATGGCAAGGTCTCCCGATCTGACCCCCTTAGACTTTTATCTTTGGGGTCATCTGAAGGCAATTGTCTATGGTGTGAAGATCGAGTGTGCAGCACCTGAAACTACAAGATGCTGCTGGCATCCAGTGTAGATTGACTGATAACTTGGGTCTTGGACTGTAAGCGCTATTAAATACTACCTGACATGCGGTGTTGCTATCAGTGTGTGAAGAGTGGGAGAAGAGGGTTGCATTGACAATCCAACACAATGGGCAGCACATTGAACACATTTCTCCTGCGGTGTTGCTATCAGTGTGTGAAGAGTGGGAGAAGAGGGTTGCATTGACAATCCAACACAATGGGCAGCACATTGAACACATTTTATGTGTATATGTGAGGGGGCAAACTCCTCAAGATGTTTACCGGGTGGGCCATATAAACGGCCCACCCGGTACATCAGCAAGAAAAACTGTGAGGATGATGAAGAAGGGAAGGCAGCTCTGTCAACATGACAACAGTTTTTTTTCGGTGATATGGGGCCACTGTAAACATATGATTTATATATATTAAGCTTGACATTAAAAAGAATTCAAATTATTTCAAATGAACTCAAAGTATGAAGCAGTAATATTATCCCATTTAATACTGATTGGGAACATTTTTCTGTAGAACAATTATTTTCACTTTATGCACAATTTTCCACTAATGCCTCGTCCCTGTACCAAAGTTGCCATGTCCCAGTGGCCCCCAGGATTACAGGCCTGTCATCCTGTCGTCATTACATCATGAAGACCCTGGAAAGACTCATCCTGGACTAGCTCCGACCCATAGTAAGACCACATCAGGATCCCCTTCAATTTGCTTACCAGCCCCATCTAGGAACTAAGGACGCCATCATCTACCTGCTCAATCGTGTCTACACCCATCTGGACCAGTTGGCGAGCACTGTTAGAGTCATGTTTTTTGACTTTTCCAGTGCATTCAACACCATCAGGCCGACCCTCCTGGGTGATAAGCTGGGTCAGTCCTTTGTCACATGGTGCGAGCAGAATTATCTGCAGCTCAACGTGGCAAAAATCAAGGAATTGATTGTGGATTGTAGGACGACCAGGAAAACCTTGACCCCATTTCAATATTTAGTATTTATAATCCTCCACAACGTGGACATTGTGGAGGATTATAAATACCTTGGAGTACACATAGACAATAAACTGGACTGGGTTAAAAACACTACTGCACTTTACAGGAAGGGCCAGAGTCATCTCTATTTTCTGAGGTGGCTGAGGTCCTTCAACATCTGTCGGACAATGCTCAGGATTTTCCATGAGTCTGTTGTGGTCAGTGCTGTCCTCTATGCTGTTGCATGCTGGGGAAGCAGGTTCAGGGTTGCTGATGCCAACAGACTCAATAAACTGATCCGCAAGGCCAGTAACGTTTTGGGGATGGAGCTGGACTCTCTTAAGGTGGTGTCAGAGAGGCAAATGTTGTCCAAGATAACACAAAGTTGGACAATACGTCCCACCCACTGCATAACATGCTGACTAGCCACAGGAGCACGTTCAGTGAGAGACTGAGATTACCGAAAAGCACCACTGAACAACACAGGAAATCATTCCTGCCTGTGGCCATCTCCCTGTACAACACAATCGAATACTCCGTAAACACTGCTATAGTTACATCTTTTTGCACACGCTCTTTCTTACTTATTAATGTTGCTGTCTATGGCAGATGTGGTTATATTTATTCATAACCACATCTGCCAACCCTGGATATTTATTATTTGGTGATTTGTATATATTGTATATATTGTGGTATTCCTTATATCTTAACATATTGCACTGCTAATAGTCTAGTCTGTTTTTGTTTTTGTTTCTATTAGTGTTACTGTACTGGAGCAACCGTAACCCACATAATTTCCCTAGGGATTAGTAAAGTATTCTGATTCTGATTCTGATGTCTACTGAAGTATTTCCATAATGTTTCATTGCTTCCTTTTTTATAGGAATGTTTTCTTTGAACACTAAATAATTTCTGGAAATACATAATAGATATTCATTGATGATCCTTAGATGACGGCCTTTAGTTTTCCTACAATATGTTGCTGGCCTCTTCTGGGCAAAATGATAAACTGCAGCCATGATATTTACACAAACAGCTTTATTTCAAGCATTTTCTGTATTTATCTATATCTATGCATCTATAGAAAGCTATCGTGCATGAACAATTCAAATATACACATAATTATCTAATAATTCACTGGCTTTACCAGAGCTGGCATGCTAGATTCTTGTTGTAGTACCACGTCACTGTGTATGGTTTTTAGGCCTTTTTCTCGATGAACTGTCAGTTTGGATTGTGTGTACACAGTCCGAGCTGGTGTGTCTCATCTCTTCTGGAGGTAGTGTATGAGGACTTTCTCTGAGCTCAGAATGTGACTGGGTCTTTTGAAGTCCAGCGACTGCAGTTTCTGGATGCCTACGTACACACACATGCAAGCACACACAAAAAGGGAGGTGTTTAAACTGCCATGTCAACCAGACTTTATTATATTTATGCACATCAGTACACTCTTTTTCAAGAATATAGCAACAATGAAACTTTTTACAGTACATTTGATTATAAACCAACTTGAAGTGTAAGTCGTTTAAATCAGCTTTTTTATACCTCTACAGTAACAGTTTCTGAAGTGTGTAAAATGTGTTGCATAATGATAGAAATTCATTGGAATAAATGAACTTATTACTGCTTCTGAGTACAGTAAATTATTACCGTTGACATTAAGACTTCTGTTTCAATGTTCTTAGTTTCTCAGTCCAGAAATAAAAAGCCACTATCATGGGAGTTGCCATAATGAAACTATTTGTTTTCAGGTTACTCTGGATAAGTTTAGAAAGGCCCTGTAGGTTTTTTGTCTCATGGTAGCCTGGCCTTCAGATTCCCTGCACCAGCAACCGTGGGTGTGATATTTCATAAAGAGTTTGAACTTTGCACACAGCCTCTGGAGGACAAATGGTGTCACTGCCTCTATGGATGCCCTTTTCAGGTTGTGCTGCTCTCTTCAAACAGGAAAGAGCTGCGTCTAGACTGAGGAAAAAACAACCCAAATTTAAAAACCGTTATTTTCACAGGTTTACATTTACTGTCTGTGTGTATAAATGGACTGGTTCTTATATAGTGCTTTTCTACTCTACCTGAGCACTCAGAGCACTTTTATACAACTTGCCTTATTCACACCCATTCATACAAGTGTTTTTTCTGTGCTCTTTCTATCTAACATTCACATACATTCATACTCCAAGATTGGAGAACAACGTGGGGTTTGTATTTTGTCCAAAGATTTTTGGCCTGCAGACTGGACCAAACCAACAACCTGCTGATTAGCAGAAGACCTGCTACAGCCACCCAGTGTGTGCAGGTGTGTCTGTGTGTGTGCATGCACAGGTGTGAGAGTTTGTATGTTTGTGTTTTAACTTCAAGGTTGACTCTTTATGACATTTTTTTTTGTTGTTTTTGCTATAAGACATTGTAGACCTACATTCCACCATCCATCACATTTCTATCACTAATACATTTCAGGGTTGTGGGGGACTGAAGTCTATCCCAGCTGCCATGGGGTGTAAGGGGGGTACACCTTGGACAGGTCACCTGTCTGTCACAGGGACCTACACACTGTTCTTTTTCTTTTTTTTAAATTATAAGCCCATTGTAATGAAATATGTTTTATAAATAAAATGGACACTGATACTAGTAAATGGACTGGTTCTTACACATCACTTTTAAATTCTACCTGGGCACTGAGAGTGCTTTATACAACTTGCCTCAGTCATACCCGTTCATCTAAGCACTTTTTTTCTATCCTTTTTCTGCACAAGTACTTTCTATCTAGCATTCACACTTCCATGGATGCATCGGAGAGCAACTTGGGCTTAGTATCTTGACAAGGATATTTGGCATCCAGATCAAACGACCTGAGCTACAGCCAATCCATATTGACGCTGATGCTTTGGAAGCCTGTGTTCTGGCTGTCATGGCCGTCATCTCTTTGCCTCTAGCCTCAACACAGGTATAGGTAGGTGGATCAGTGAACTATGTATATCTTGCCAGTCAATATGCAATTCAAGTTCTCTGAAAGTAAGATACCAATCTGGAGCTGTGGGCCTCAGGAGGAGGAACGCATCAGACCATGGTTAAAGAATTGCCACAGACTAGCAACGTGGAAGTGGCCACAACAATAATCAGGTAATGAATGTCAGAGTCTCTACGCATTTTTTAAACCACATCCCGATCACCTCTCTGTAGTGCTGTGTGCATGAGCCTGATGTACACGACTTCCATAACTCGAGACGGAATTTCTCATTTAGATGTTACTACATGTGAGAACCAGAAGCTGTAAGAAGAGGAGAGCAAAATAACCAACACACCTGATTTTAAGTAATATAGAAACTGCATAATTTTAATACATCATAATGATGGATGATGGATTGAAATGCCCTGCAGGTATGCTGGTGAAAGCCATTAGAGAGAATCGTAATCCTTGATTTATACCCATGGGCCTTGTGAGACAAAAGGTCAGCAGCAGAAGATTGTATATAGATTTCAGGACACTGAACACTGTAACGAAAGATGATTCACCTGGCCTACATGTGTGGAATGATTTCTACCATTAATGGTTGCAAGCACAAAATTTACTTGTGTGTGCAACCTGTTTTACTTATCACACACAATGACGGATGTTTAGAGAGTAATTTGGGATTCTCTTGCTCAAGGACTCTTACCAGAGTGGAGGAGCAGGGAGTCAAACCATTAACATTCTGAGTATTGTTAGGAGCAGTTTGGTTTGGGTTCAAGGAGGGAGGGAGCATATATTAGCCAGGGGAAACCTACACACAGTAATGCCAACTACAGTTTATTTAACTGGAACTTGAGGCCATTAAATGCTGCAAACTGAGAAGGATAATTTGACAGGAGAATGCTTTACAGTGTACTGACAATAACTTGCTTGCCGAGTTATGGACAGCAAACCGAATACAGCAGAACTATAGAGAGTAGCTCAGCTTGCCTCTTTTGAGTCTGATAGTAGTGTAAGGAATAAATATTGTCTTTCCAGTTTTCCAGCAGGTTCCTGGTCAGTTTCAGGAAAATATGATTTCACAGGAACTGGGACGATCAACCATTGAGCTAAATACTGTAAAAGAATGTAATGGAGAGTCTAAGAGCAGTGGATGGATGCCAATGATGCCGGCATACCACTGTCTAAAAGGTATATATGATCTTGCCGGATAAGACAGTATGGAGTGTTTGTTGCAAAATGTGTTAAACATGATATACTTACTAAGGGTGCAACGATACTCATATCGATATTGAACCGTTTGATACAGTGCTTTCG